TGTTTATTAATCTCATTGAGGCCCTGGCCAGGTAGCTAAATTGGTCAGAGCTTCGAACCGATACTCCAAGGTTGATGGCTTGATCCCTGGTCAAGGCACATACAAGAATCAACCAGTGAATGCATAAATACGTGGAACAACAAATCAGTGTCTGTCTGTCTGTCTGTCTGTCTCTCCCCCTCCCTCCCACTCCCCCTCTTAAAAATCAATAAATAAAAATGTTTAGAAAATACTTATTAACACATGTCAAAAAAGCAAGATCTGGGAAGAATGAGATTATGTGAAATAGATAGAAAACTAATATTAAAGAATTTATTTTTTTTTTAATTGCAGTTCACAGTCAGTATTATTTTGTATTAGTTTCCAGTATACAGCATAGTAGCTAGACCCTCATGTGCTTTATAGGGTGGTCCTTCTCATATTTCTAGTACCCACCTGGCATTATACATAGTTATTACAATGTTATTGACAATATTTTCTATGATGCATTTTACATCCTGCTGACTGTTCTGTAACTACCAATCTACCTCTCAATCCCTTCACCTTTTTCACCCAAACCCCTAACCCCCCTCCCTCTGGCAACCATCAGTCTGTTCTCTGTATCTGTCCGTCTTTTTCTGTTTTGTTTGTTTATTTATAGTGTTCTTTAGATTTCACATACAAGTAAAATCATACGGTATTTGTCTTTTTCTGATTTATTTCTCTTAGCACAATACCCTCTAGAATTATGTATGCTGTCCCAAATGGTAATATTTCATTCTTTTTGTGGCCAAGTAATATTTTATTATATATATGTTCCACCGCTTTTTTATCTTCTCATCTATTATTCATGGGTGCTTGGGTTGCTTCCACAGCTTTACTGTTGTAAATAATACTGCAATGAACATAGCGGTGCATATATTTTTTCAAGTTAGTGTTTTGGGTTTCTTTGGGTATATACTCAAAAGTGGAACCTCTAGGTTATAAGGCAGTTCCATTTTTAAGTTTTGGAGGAACCTCCATACTGTTTCCCACAGTGGCTGCACCAAACTGCCTTCCTACCAGCAGTGCACAAGGGTTTCCTTTTCTCCACATCCTTGTCAACTCTTACTGTTTGCTGGTTTATTGGTGATAGCCATTCTGACAGATGTGAGGTGATATCTCATTGTGGTTGTGGTTTTAATTTTCATTTCTCTGATAACTAGTGACATTGAGCATGTTTTCATATGTCTGTTGGCCATCTGTATGTCCTCTTTGGAGAAATGTCTATGTGGGTCTTTTGCCCATTTTTAACTGGATTGTGTGGATGTTTTTTTGTTTTTGTTTTCTCATTGAGTTGTATTAGTTCTCAACAAGTTTTGGATATTAAGCCCTTATCATTGGTGAATATGTTCTCCCATTCAGTGTGTTGCCTTTTAATTTTGTTGATGGTTTCATTTGCTGTGCAAAAACTTTTTAGTTTGATGTAGTCCTTTTTGTTTATTTTTTCTTTTGTTTCTCTTGCCCAAGATTATATATCAGAAAAAAATATTATGAAGAGATTTTACTGCCTAGGTTTTCTTTTAGGAATTTTATGGTTTTGAGTCTTACATTGTAAGTCTTTAGTCCATTTTGAGTTTATTCTTGTATATGGTGTAAGAAGGTGGTGCAGTTTCATTTTTTCCAAATATCTGTTAAATAATCTTTTTATACTAAACATCCTATATATTTCTTTGAATTTTTAAAAATAATTTCACATTTTAATTGGAGGTGTAGCTATATATAATTAAGCAATTTGAATGTAAAAGTTAAAGACAGCCACAAATAAGCTATTAAAATATATCACCATCTCAATCTACATTGTTAGATGCAAGTGGAAAGTCATCTACTGGTCTCAAACCTGTGAAAATTGGTTGCTTGATTGATTGGCTTACTTTTGAATATATGACAATAGTGTTTGAGCACTGCTTCACAGAATTAATCCAGCCTAAATAATAGTACTTCCATGCTAGCTAGTAACTTGTAGAAAGTTAAGTAAATTTATGAGCACAGGTATATGAGAATATTTGTGATTCTTTTCACATGCATCTAATAGGAGGTAATGAAGTAGGGTGGTCTTTTGGGGGCAAATGTGCGGAAGTACATAAAGATCATATGAGGTATGGCGTGTTTCTATCATTGATTTTGAGCAGTTTAATTACATGTGTTAGTGTAGTTATGTTTCTTTTGCTTAGAGTTTGTTGAGCTTTTTTGGATCTGTGATTTATAGTTTTCATCAAATTTGGAAAAATTTCAGCCATTATTTTTTCAAATTTAATGCCTGTGCTAATTCTACTCTTTTGTCAGTTTGGGAGCAGTTTTCATTGTTTTTTTTTTTTTCTTATGTGGCAGTTTTTCCTGAGTCTTTGTATGCCTTTGAAATTTGGTTGGATCTCAGACATTGTGAATTTTACCTTGTTAGGTGCTGTGTATTTCTGAATTCCTATGAATATTTTTGAGCTCTGTTTAACTGAAACACAGTTAAGTTACTTGGGGGAAGTTTGATCCTTTCAGGTCTTGCTCTTTAAATTTGTTAGGCAGGACTAGAACACTGTTTGGTCTAGGCTAATTACCCCCTAACTACTGAAATAGATCCTCCCGAGTTCTCTCCCTAATGCCTGTGAATCTTGAGGTTGAAGGAAGAAATGCTGTTCCCAGCCTGTATGAGCACCTGACACTGTCACCTCTGATCCTTTTGGGTGTTTTCACCCACTGATCTCAGGTAGGTTCCTCACACATATGCACTAGTCACTGTTCTGCTGAATACCTGAGGGGTCCCTCTGATTTCTCTGATTTTTTTCTTCTCTCTAGGACTCCTCCCTGAGCACACTAGCCACTTCTGTGTCCGATGGACTCTCATTTCATTTCCTTGCTCAGGGATTCTGCCAGGCTTCTCCTGGACTCCTCCTCCCTAAACTTGGAAACTATGCCAAGGCATTAAGCCAGGACAATTATAGGACTTACTGCATTAGTTTTCTGTCTTTCTTACCTGATGTCTAGTTTCTTACAAACTGTTGTTTTATATATTTTGTTTATTTTTTTTGTTGTTTCGTGTGAGAGGGTAAATTCAGTCTCTGTTACTCCATAGTGGCCAGAAGCATAGGTCTGAAGTATAAGATTTTAATGTGTGGTAAAAACTATTTTCAAGAGAAGCACATGAGAGCTGTTTCAAATGTAATAGAGGACTGGTTATAGAATTATTATCATATCCATATAGTAGAATATTATGTAGCCAACTGAGAAAAAGGAAGTGCAGTTATATGTTTTGTCATGGAAAGCCATCTAAGGTACATAAGAAAAATATTAAATTCATCCTTTCATAATTCAAGAAATATTTATTGAGCCTCTATTTTACAGCACCATCGTGTTAAGCATTCGGGATCTAATAAGCAGTAAAGACAAACATTGCTCTGCCTTTAAGTAGTGTCTTTTGATTCACATTCTAGTATGTGGGTGTGGAATAGAATAAAAAATAAACTGGTATGAGTGTAATGATAAATTCTGGGAAGGAAATATATAGAATGAACTTATAAGATGAATGGGATGGGGACCCAACTTTTGATAGGGTTTTGAGAGAAAACCTCTGTGAGGAAATGATCATTTGAAACATGAAGAATATGGAGCCAATCAACAAAACAGTGTCCTGCAGGAAGGAACAGCAAGTGCAATGGCCCCAGGAGGGAAAAGAACAGCATGTAGCGAAGCTGAAAAATGGGAGAAAGGAAGAGCAAGGTTGAAAGTGGTCAGAGTTAGTAGAGGTTTTCAGGAACTACATCATACAGGGTTGCAGGTCTTGCTCAGGAGTGTGGATTTTACACTAAGATGCAAAAAGTAAAGAGCAGTAGCCATTTTGGTACTAGTGTAAAATGATAGTCACATATATGCATATACGCTTTCTGGAAGGGTACGTGGACATGATTGATGAGCCATGGCTACCTCTAAAGATTAGAAATAGGGACCGAGGGAGTAGGGCAGATGCGTTTAATTTATGCCTCTCACTACAAATATTTTACCTTGAATGTATATTACTTTTCAAATTGAATAAAGTAATGGATCTGTATTTTTAAGAGCATTCATATAAATTATTTTTAAAGCATTGGTCAAAAATATGAAGAAGATGTTGACAAAGGAGAAATGCTAGTAAAACTGTAAAAGGATAGTCAGCCTTACTAGTGATCAGAAAAAAAACACAATTTAGATTTTCACCTCCTAGATATTGGCAAAGACAGAAAATATCTGTAGTGTTCTGTTTCATTGAGGGTTTAGGTGAACAGATGCCCTAGTGTGCATATTTTTAGTGTGAATATGTGTTGATCCAGACTTTCTAGAGGGCAGGTTGAGAGTATATTTCCAGAACTCTAAAAAATATGTATCTTAGGACTCAGTAAGTTTTTTTCTACAAATTTATTCTAAGGAAGTAAATCAGGAAAAATTAAAAGTCCAAAGATACAGATATGATTTAAAGCATTGCTTATATTAATAAATAACTGGGACCCACTAGCAGGCATCCATAGAAAACCGATTATTTCAATTATAATATATTCTGTTGAATAATCCCTTGTGGCCTTAGCATTTATGTTGTAATTATATATTAATTGACACATCAGGATCTTTACAGAATATTGTTCAGTAAAACATGTAGATTAGAATGTTATGTATATAATAAGATTGCCTTTTTTAAATGTGTAGGTTTAAGTATGTATCTGTGTGCACAGAGAAATGCTGGAAGGATTTATACAAAAATGTTGATAGTATTTTGCTATATATTAAGGCTTTTAATATTTTTATATTTTAAGATTTTAATGATTAATTATAAAATTACATTAATTTTTCAATGATCAACAAAGTTAGTCTATAAAAAGGAAAAAATGTAAAGTATTAAATATCTAGAAAAGTTTGTTAAAATCTTTATGAATGTAACTTGATAAATAGTACTAAAATATAATTATAGTATTGTTTGATCTGGAATAATTGATCTTCATAATACCTTTCAATTTTCCTAGGACTAGAAGAAATTGCAAAGGAAAGAGAAAAACTGAAAAAGGCAGAAAGTATGCAGATCAAAGAAGAAAGACTTGAGATTTCTGAGGACACTTTAAATTGTTCCAATCCAGATCATTGTGAACAAAAAGAAGAGCCTAAAGAAAAAGACAACACAAATCTATTTCTTCAAAAACCTGGCTCTTTTTCAAAACTGAGCAAGCTTTTAGAAGTAGCTAAGATGCCCCCTGAGTCAGATGTAATGACCTCAAAACCAAACAGTAGTGGAAACGGTTGCACACTGTCTTACCAAAATAGTGGGAAACATTCAGTGGGCAGCATCCCATCAACAGCAACACAAAGCAGTGTGGAAAAGACAGACTCTAATAATTTGTTCAATACTGGTTCAGGTGGTCCAGGGAAGTTCTACAGTCCTCTTCCCAGTGACCAGTTGTTAAAAGCACTGACTGAAAAGAATAGACAGTGGTTTAGCCTTTTGCCAAGAACCCCTTGTGACGACACTTCAATTACCCATGCTGATATGTCAACTGCTTCTTTAGTGACTCCTCCATCTCAGCCACCATCTAAGTCACCTTCACCTGCCCCAGCTCCTCCTCTTGGATCATCTTCTGCCCAGAATCCTGTTGGCCTAAATCCATTTGCTTTATCACCTCTTCAGGTTAGTACTGCTAAATGCAGCTCATTTTCATGTTGCTTTATTTAATCTTTGACCCCATGAAGGTTTTTACTCAAAGGCAATCAGTCAAATATTTGTAATATTATCCTTGCTACAGTTTGAAAACTGAGGAGAGTCAGATTTGGTATCACCAAGCTTCACCAGAACTACTGATTTCTAGTCTAAGACAGGCATTTTAAATTACTTTTTAACTTATCACTATAGTATATCTAAAAGGAAATTACTTTGTGGAGCACATAAAAACATGGAATTCAACATTGTCATTATATTTAGTTCTCCTGTATTTGTAATAAGTGAAAGAATATTTTTTCAGAATTAAAAAAATTCAGATTCTAAACATTTTTTTGAACTTCTTAGATGATCCTACTTTTAAATTCTTTTGTTTTTTGCAGATAAAAAGTGGAGTATCTGTGATGGGACTTCAGTTGTGTGGGTGGCCCACTGGTGTGCTTACTTCTAATATTCCATTTACATCACCTTTACCTAATCTGGGAGCAGGGTTGGGATTATCTGAAGGAAATGGTCATTCATTCTTGATTCCCAATGTTGCTTCAAGTAAAAGTGAATCTCCAGTACCACAAAATGAAAAAGTCTCTTCAGCTCAACCTGCAGCTGTTGAAGTGGCAAAACCAGTAGATTTTCCTAGTCCAAAACCTATTCCAGCAGGTAGGTACATTGAGATGGTAGGTACATTGGCTTTATTTCATTGTTACAGATTTCTATATTATAACTAAATCTTTCTTTAATGGCTTTATATATAGTTGTAAATCTTTTTATTTGCATTGTGCCATTAATTTATCTTTAAAATATTTGTAAAAGATCTACATATTTATCTTAAATTAGAAATGCAGTTTGGCTGGTGGAGAATTATTGACCCAGAGGACTTAAAAGCTTTGCTGAAAGTGCTACATCTCAGAGGAATAAGGGAAAAGGCATTACAAAAACAAATTCAGAAACACTTGGATTATATTACTCAAGCCTGCATTAGGAATAAGGATGGTATGTACCTAAAAGAGATTTCTGCTGTTTTACTTAGTTATGAGAATTAATTCTTTTAAGACATATTTTTGTATGTCTTGAATCTTAATGTATTCTATTTTGCTCATTTTTTCTATTTTGCTGAACAGTCACTGTTCACATTTATTAAATTGATATTGCTTTCCTACATTTTTTTACAACTTGCAGACATATTGTTTTGTTTCTGAAAAAGAATATCCCTACTTTTAAGAGTAAGCTGTAGCCCTAGCTTGTGTGGCTCAGTGGATTGAGTGCCAGCCTATGAATCAAAAGGTTGCTTGTTTGATTCCCAGTCAGGGCACACACCTGGGTTGCAGGCCAGGTCCCCAGTAGGAGACATGTAAGAGACAACCACAGATTGGTGTTTCTTTCCCTCTCTTTCTCCCTCTGTTCCCCTCTCTCTAAAAATAAATAAATAAAATCTTTTTAAAAAGAGTAAGCTGCATGCATATGCACATGTAACATTTGTGTATTAAGTTACATGTACATGTTATCTCTGGAATTTTATTCATGTTCTGGAAGAAATCATTAAGGGATAAAGTCAATTTTAAAATTAATTTTTTTTTCAAATGTAGTTGCTATTATTGAATTAAATGAAAATGAAGAAAACCAGGTAACTCGAGATATTGTGGAGAATTGGTCTGTAGAAGAACAAGCAATGGAAACAGATTTGAGTATTCTTCAGCAGGTGGAAGATTTAGAAAGGAGAGTTGCATCAGCAAGTTTGCAAGTAAAGGTAAAATTGACTTGGATGAAATGTGTCTTTAGGAAAGTGGAAGGTAACTAATATTTATTATATGCCTGATATGTGCCAGTTACTATGCTAAGTGTTTTCACTTTATCTTATTTAATTCTCAAAACAATCCTGAATTAATTTTCCCCATCTTACAGCTACAGGTAAGGAACAAAGTTCAGAGTAAAGTGACCTGCCACTGGTTGTGTAGTAAGTGGCTAAATGTGGACTCAAACTAAATATATCTGTCTCCAAAGCCCATGTTCTTTTGACTAAATCTTGCTACCTCCTTTGTGGTATTCACAAATTTCATTTCTGGTATGCAGTTCTTTACCACAGCAGAATATCACAGTTTTTCCCACTATAAATGTAAAGCTTTATCACACTCTGACGACAGTGTTTTATATAGGACCAGGGACCCTTCCTATACAAACCACGTTATGTGTCACATTTTCACTCTGTGTAATTTAAACTTGGAGCATATGGAGATATTCAAACGTACATTGTGTTATCACACACACACATTATATATACATATGTATGTAAAGTTTTAATTAATTTATTTATCTAATGAACATTACGAGGTCACAAAGCAGTGATTGAACTAGCTTCCAATGGACAGGCAAAAGAATACTTTTGTGCAAGAATTTTTAGTTTTGTAAAGAGCAGTGTAAAGGTCTTTCTCCTCAGTTGATAGTGTGGTGATATCTCTGAGAATAAATGGATGGATGATGAACAAGGGTATAACAGACACCTGAAAAGCTTTATAAAATGTAGTCACCATGTAATTAGATTTGATATATTATCAAATAAATATATTAAATAAACATTTGATATATTTACTCAGAATGAAAAACATATGCCATAATGCTATTCTTTCCTGTGATTAAATTTTTGCTTCATAATTACTTTAATGCTGTCCTTTGGAACTTTCTGAGCATCTCCAAAAAAATGTCATTTTCCAGAGCATTAAATATTCCTTTTTTGCCACAAACATAATTACCAGCTTTGGGAAGCAAAAATTTATCATTTGCTGAAACTATTTTGCCAGCAAACTATGTGTATCCTCCTTCTGGTACTATAATACAATATAAAAATGCCTCATTTGCCTGGCATCTTCAACAAATGAACTCTTCCACACAAGTTAATTTTTTGGAGAAATAAAATTATTCCATTTAGTGCCATAATTTTTAAACATGTTTGTTGGATGGCTTATGTTATGCATTGCACTGCCTTCTTAAATTAAGAATAATGAGTTTGATTTAAATTATCTTGGTGGCACAGGATTGTCAGTATGATGACCAATTAATAGAAAATGATTCCCTCAGGAAATGCAAAGAGGTTTTGCCCCTACATGAAATGCTTTTTAAACTACTTCATCTGCTTGCTATAGTCTGTCTCTGCTCGCTCTCGTGGTTAGTTGTTGCTATGTGCTAGTTTAATTTTATTGGTTCTACCAAACCTATTTTCCTGCAACTCCCCCCTCATCCAATATTCCAATTCTAATTGGCTATTTGTTGGGGAAGCATATCATCAAGTGTCTTGGGCCTGAAGCACTTTTCTGGAGACATGCTCAGTTTTTGGTGCATTGACCTGATCATATTACTGGCTGCTTAGATGTTTTTGAGCTGTGTTCTCTGTAGCTAAGATTAGTGCAATTTGTGTAAGTAGGGTATGTTTAACATCCTATTAATAAGGCATTACTGAATTATTCTGTATCATTCTAAGAAATGAATTATAGTAGTCCTGAAGAGTCTGAAAATACAAGAGATGAAAGTAACCATAAAACATTATTTTAACACTTATGAAAATTTAATGAAGACCCTGGCTGGGTAGCACAGTTGGTTAGAATGTAATCCCGATATGCCAAGGCTGTAGGTTCAATCCCTGGTTAGGGCACATACAATGAATGCATAAATAAGCAGAATAGCAAATCAATGTTTCTTTCTGTCTCTCTCCCTCCCTCCCTTCCTCCCTCCCCCCCTTTTCCTCTCTCCCTAAAACCAACGAATAAAAAATTTAGTGAATTTTTACTGATCCATACCCACCAGTGTAAAAGAAGTGTAAGTTTTCCATTTTGCCTTGTGTCCAATCCTAGCAATTTCCTCACTATGCTTTTTCCCTCCCCTTAATCTACTACCAGTGGATTTCCCATAACTCTCATTGCATCTCCTTCTTTGAATCTAATGTGTAAAACAAGCTACAAAACTGCCATTCTCTGGAGCATTTCCTCAATCCGCTGAGATTTTGCTTCCCAGCATATGTTGTCAGCTTGGTCAGATAAACAAACTTATAAAAATTACCTAAAAAAAGAAAGCAAAGAAAATAGAGTTATATGTTTAGACTGGGAACTAACTATTGTGTAGACACATTAAGCAGGTGGAACATTCATTTTTATTTTTAGTAAAAATATAGAAATTATTTTGCTAATAATTTGGAATTTTTTTATATTTGTAAGAAAATCTGTAAGTCTGTAATCTTCTATTGCTGAAGAGTATACAGAAAGCCTAATTATCCTTCCAGCTCCTCAAAAGACAGATTCTTTGTCCCTTTCTAAGTTTTCTCTTTTACTGGCTAATTAATTCTTTCAACCATTAGTCCTGTGAAATGGTTTACATGTCCATGTTTCTTTTCTGAATAAACAATAATGCCAATACCATTCTAAAAATGTTATACCTGTAAGTGTACATGGAGAAGTCTGAAGGTGTTCATGGGACTTTTACTTTCCTTAATTCAGCACTACACTTCTGTCAGTGCTCTCTGCATTGTTACCTTTTTAGCCTTCACATCATACTATTGCTTCATGAGTATGCACTTTAAAAAAAAAAATCCATGGGCCTCTTTTAGAGTGCTTTTAAGTTAGTTCTATCATGTAGTATTTCTGTGTTAGTCACTTAAACTTCAAAGCTAAAATTTATATTTATCATTGTTCTATTTCTATTAACCTCATTTGGGTACCTTTTTCAGCACATTTTAAATTATTTTAAAACTATTTTAATCTTAGTCCTGTCACAGAATCTTAAACTTCCTTTCTAACTTTAAGTCTCCTGCAGTTTGAATAACAGTCAGCCAAGTTATTCATAAGTGTATTAGCCAAATACAGAGCCTTTGGATATTGTCAGTGACCTTTCCTGAGGTGACAAGCTTTATCAATCACCATTCTTCAGATACAGTTTTTAACCACTTAGACTTCTCTAACTGTAATCCAGTCTTCTTTTGGGGGGTAGGGGGGTGGTCTCATCAGTTGCCTTGTAGAAATCAAGATATACTGTGCTTACAGGATTCCTTGCCTTGATTTAGCTATTTAGTATTCAAAGTATGGGAATGAGGTTTGTTTAACATGACATGTGCCAAATGTACTTTTGTGTACTATTCATAATTCCATCCTTACTTTCTAAATGTTCTGATGATTTAAAGATGTGGAATTGATCCTAATATAAAGATAAAATAATTATCTCCTAAAATTTTTAGTAGAAAAGATTATGTTAATTCCTTTAATATGCATTTAGTAAGTACCTATTCCACATCAGACAATGGGCACCACAAAATTTTTAAAAATATGGTTTCTACCCCCAGAAAGCTGGACATATGATTGGGAGATAAGACATGTATATACATCTATATGGAGAATTAGAATCATACATGAATTTAGAAAAAGAATACACAATTTCTGGTGGAAATACGGAAAATGTCAGAGAGCTTTCATGAAGAAGCTGAGATAAAATTTGAGAAGATGAGTAAGCTTTTGAAAATCAAAGAACAGGGAATGCCATACTAGAGAGAGTGAACAGCATGAGCAGAGTTCCAGGATCAAGAAGCTCAGCTAATAAGACTTCTGGTCAAGATGGAGGTGTAAATAAACATGACTCATCTCCTTGCACAACCACAGCAAAAATTACAACTAAATTACAAAAGACTATCACCCAGAATCATCAGAATATCAAGCTGTATGGAAGTCTGACAACTAAGAAATTAAAGAAATCACGTTCATCCAGACAGGTAGGAGGGGTGGAGGTGTGGAATAAGCAGTCCGTTACCCACATGTGATAGATAAAAATCGGGAGGGATACCTCAGGAGCAAGGGATCCCAGCTCCCCACCAGACCACCCAACCTGTGCTTCCATTGCCAGGAAAATAAGTCCCTATAACTTCTGGGGTTAGGGCAGCAGAAGAAACTGCAGGGTTCTCAGATGTTTCCTCTTAAATGGCCCATGATGGACTTAGGACTTAAGGAGACTCACTGCCTCTGGGCTCCAGCACTGGAGCAGCAGCTGGAAGGGCACCAGTGGCATATGGGGAGAGACTGAAGTGTCTAGCATCAGGATGAGTGCCAAGGGACAGCTTCCTTCTGGACAAAACTCTAGAAACCAGGCAGTGGCCATTGTCCCTTTTCTGAGCCCTCCTGCACGCAGAGTCACAGAGTGGTGACTCCATCAACTGGTTCACACAGGTTGCCTCACCCTGGCAATTACCTAAGTCTGCACCCCATCCAAATTACAGGTATGCTATTCTACAACAGGCCACGCTACTAAGACAAAGAGTCAAAGCAGCCCTACCTAATACATAGGAACAAACACAGGGAGGCTGCCAAAATGAGGAGACAAAGAAACATGGCCAAAATGAAAGAACAGAACAAAACTCCAGAAAAAGAACTAAACAAAATGGGGATAAGCAATCCATCAGATGCAGAGTTCAAAACACTGGTTATTAGAATGCTCAAGGAACTCAATGGATATTTCAACAGCTAAAAAACACCCAGGTAGAAATGAAGGTTACACTAAGTAAAATAAAGAAAAATTTACAAGGAACCCAACAGTGGAGGGGATGAAGCTAAGAGTCAAATCAATGATTTGGTGTGTAAGGAAGCAAAAAACATTCAATCAGCACAGTAAGAAGAAAAAATCCAAATAAAGATAGACTAAGGAGCCTCTGGAACAACTTCAAACGCACCAATATTTGAATCATAGGAGTGACAGAAGGAGAAGAGAAAGGAAGAAATTGAAAACTTATTTGCAAAAATAGTGAAAGGAAACTTACCCAATTTGGTGAAGGAAATACACATACAAATCCAGGTATCACAGAGAGTCCCAAACATGATGGACCCAAAAAGGACCATACCAAGACACATCATAATTAAAATGCCAACAGTTAAAGAAAGAATCTTAAGAGAGTTTCCTACAAAGGTGTTCCCATAAGACTATGAACTGATTTCCCAAAAGAAACTTTGCAGGTTAGAAGGGACAGATAGGCAAAAAGTATTCAAAGTGATGAAAAGCAAGGACCTACAACCTAGATCACTCTATCCAGTAAAGCTACGATTTAGAATTGAAGGGAAGATAAAGTGCTTCCCAGACAAAATAAAGCTAAAGGAATTCTACATCACCAAGCCATAACCACATGAAATGTTAAAGGGACTTATTTAAGAAAAAGAAGAAGATCAAAACTATGAACATTAAAATGACAAACACAACTATCAACTACTGAACCTAAAAAATAGAAACAAAAACAAACAAAGCAAACAACTAGAACAGGAACAGAATCATAGGTACAGAGATCACATGGAGGGTTATCCATTGGGAGGAGAAAGAGGGAGAATGGGGGAAAAGGTGCAGGTATTAACTACTAATTGATAGGTACAGAATAGACAGAGGGATGTTAAGAACAGTATAGGAAATGGAGAAGCCAAAGAACTTACATGCACCACCCATGGGCATGAACTATAAGGGGAATTGCTGGAGGGAAGAGGGTACTGGGTGGAGGGGGCAAAGGGGGAAAAATTGGGACAACTGTAATAGCATAGTCAATAAAATATATTAAAAAATAAAGCATTCTTTTAAAAAAAAAGCTCTGGACTTGTCTGTGGAGTGACAAGACATGGAATTTGACTGCAATGTAGGATGCATGGATGGGAACATGGGAGAAAAGGTAGAGCACAGTACCTGCATGTCATAGTAAAAATTTGGATTTTGTTAAACAGTAGAGAGTCTTTGAAGGATTTTGAGTTAAAGGATCAATATAAGCAAACTGAGTTATACAATAATATCATTTATATTTACATATTAATGAGGTGGGACCCAGAAAACCCAGAATTTATTTATATAAAATTGTGTATTATTACATGTTTAAGCTTCAGTCACCTTCAAAGTACTCTCCATTTGATGTAATATACCTATTGAGAGTTTTTCTTTCACTGCTCAAAACAGTTTTTGAACCTGTCAATTCTGATGCCTTCTCGTTCTTTTGCTGTTTTTTCTTTCACCTATTCTGCATTGGTAAAATGTTTCCCTTTCAGGGCTTTTTTTAATCTGGGGAAACAAAAAAGTTACTGAGATCAAAATCAGGGGAATAGGGAGGATAGGGCATGGAGCTGGGGGTCATGTCATTTTTTGTCAAAAACTGCTGAACACTCAGTGTGGTGTGGGCAGGTGCACTCATAAATCACCCATCATGAAATAAACATGTTGAGTCATCAAAGAAAATTCACTGAAACGAATTACAGCCTCTCACAACAAAGCCAGTTGGTACACTGATACAGATGGGCTCCTAGAACACTCACCCAGCAAAGGAAGCCTGTACTACAAGGAGTCCACCCTCCAAAAAATAATTCTGAATTTTGAGGTTCCCCCCTTGTGTGTGTGTGTGTGTGTGTGTGTGTGTGTGTGTGTATACTATTTGTTTTCACTGAGTTGCAAATAAAATGAGTAAAAGTACACATGGCCCCTGCACTCAGGGAATTTAGAGGTAGAAAGATGTTAAATAATCACAGTAGTATAAAATTGTGACTATCACAAGGCTAGTATTATATGGTCCTATGAGAAGCCTGTACTGGGAGATTTACCCCCTAACAGGTCAGGTCAGGAAAGGATTCCCTGAGGATGTAAATATTACCTTGAGAGCTGCAGGATGAGTGAAGTTAAGTAGGCGAAGAGGAATGGGGGAAAGGTATAAACACAAACATAACAGCTTGTGCAAAGCTCCTGCAGCTGAAGGAAAAATGGTGAGTACAAGGATCTGTACAAAAGTGGCGGAAGGAATGCAAGTGGAAAGGAAGAGCAGAGTTCAGAGACTACCGAGAAGTTTCCATGTACATGGTCCTGTGAAATTAATAAGCACTTGCTGATTTCATTATACCTTTTATATGTCTAAAGTTTTTTTTTTATTTTTCTTACAACTGCTTATTTTAATTTTTTTGTTCTTGTTTCTACCTACCTCCATTAGGACACACAAGGTAAAACCTTTAGTAAAGGTCCTTGAGATCTGCTGCTGTCTGCTGCTGTATTTTTAAGTAAAGGTAATTCACCCACCAGGGACTTTAAGAAAAAACCGTAATAACATTATTCTCTTGATATATAGGGTTGGATGTGTCCAGAGCCTGCATCAGAAAGGGAGGACTTGGTATATTTTGAACATAAGTCATTCTCTAAGTTGTGCAAGGAGCATGATGGAGAATTTACTGGCGAAGAAGAAAGCAGTGCACATGCACTGGAACGGAAGAGTGACAACCCCCTAGATATAGCTGTAACCAGGCTGGCTGATTTGGAGCGGAACATTGAAAGAAGGTATCTGAAGAGCCCCTTAAGTACCACCATTCAGATCAAAGTGGATAATGTGGGCACAGTTACTGTCCCTGCTCCTGCACCATCCATTAGTGGTGATGGTGACGGGTAGGTTATTGAGATTAACTTGAAAAATTATTGTGCTTCTTTGCTAATTGGAGCCTATTTTCTATTGCCTGTTATCTATGTATCTTCTTGTATGTCTGTGATCCATATGGATCATGCTGTTTGATCCATATGGATCATGCTCTTTGCATGGTGCTTTGTAAAAACATTATTTTTGTTATGTGCGTTGATAATCCTGCAAAGTGATCTTACATTTACCTGGTTGTGACTAAGCGTTGAGGCACGTAGCCACAGTCTGTGCACTACATCGAATTTAGTTGCTTAAACCTTATACTTACTGGCTGTTCCATGTTTTTGTCATTGCTTGGCTTTCAGTGTGATGATTGTTCTCATTCAGTGACCATAAATGTGGACATGACCTACTTAATTTTTCTATATTTCAATGCAGAATTGAAGAGGATATTGCTCCAGGGCTCAGGGTATGGAGAAGGGCATTGTCAGAAGCTCGCAGTGCTGCACAGGTAGCTCTGTGCATTCAGCAGTTACAGAAATCAATAGCATGGGAAAAATCAATTATGAAAGTTGTAAGTGTTTTCATTTAAGAAATACTATAACTAATTTACTTTGTCCTGTTTTTCCAACCTTCAGATCTTTCTTAATTATGTGTTAGTTATTGTCAAAATAACGTATGCTGAGAGTTTGCTTGTTCTTATCCTGTATAGTTTAATACTTTCTTCCTTATTTTGAGCTTTCAGAAGGAACCTACCAAATGTGTTATCTTTTATTTTTTTTAGATGTTGGTTCTCCCTCCATTGAATATTGTTTATAACTCTGGCTAAAGTTGCCTTCTACATTCTGTCAACATAATAGTTGTTAATCTAAGTATTTGAGGGCCCTTTCACTCTTGTAAACATTACAGTTAGTAACATTACCTGCTACACATATTCACTGCATTCCCAAAATATCTTTATATTTCCATCAATTTTCATTTTTTTAATCCAAAGAAATACTTAGATAAGTAAACACAAGTCAGGCAGAGAGTTCTTCCTTCACACATTGATATAATGTATTTGGCCTTTGATGCAGATGACGTGAAGAGTAGATCTTTTTTATTCTTTACTCCAGCTAAAACTGTTTTTTTGTGGTGTTTGTTCAAGCCCAGTCAGTTATTATCAAGCAGCAGCTTCTACTTCGCACCAAACACCAAATGATATGTGTTCAAAATAAAAGCTATCTTTCATATATTTTCAGAGAGATACTATTTTAAATCATATACATGTCCCTCTTTCCTCTTAAATATCATTTATAGAAATATCTGTTATATGTAGACTTTACTAATTACTTTAACATTTGCTTTTGAATTACAGGTTTGCTTTAAAATCCAAATATATAAGATTTGTTTTCATGAGTGACTAAGGATTTACTTAAAATAATCATTCACCAAAGAAAAGAAATGATCCTTAAATAATTAGCTTTTTTTTTAAAATTTTTACTGTTACGGTTAGACTCCTTAGGGCCTTATTCATTCTGTACAAATAAATTTAGCTTCTTCTGTGGTTTTCCACTTCTTCCTAAAATGTCCATGAAATATTGAATCTGGAGTTTTCACATCATTTTCAAATTTAGATCTTTCCCAACCCAGATTATAATTTACCATAAATTTTAAGGCATTATTTAAAACCAGTGGCATTAGTAGCATTTTTACTAGGTAAAAATTATTCTTCTAAAAGTTAGTATTAAAGTTTTCAAGTCACCCACTCAAATATATTTGGTGAAATCTAGGCTATAATGAGTCAAAACTACTGAAGACCTACATCAAAATGAAATTCATAGTTATTTTTCTAACCTACACCGAAACAGTCATTGTGTTGTGGTTAGTTTTGTTATAACCTATACACAGGAACCCAAAACTTGTACCAAAATCTGCCTTTATATTAGTATAGCTACTGCCTGCTATCTAAAGGTTTACTTCAGTTTTTACACATTCGTAAACCTTTGCCATATTATTAACATACATTTATCATTATTTAACTACATCTCTAATAATCTTCATTTCTTTTTCTTAATGCTTAACAATACATGGTTTGCTATGAAACTACCTTAAAATGAGGGCAGAGTCTCATATTCAAAGATTAATGAACAGTTTGTAACCTTTAATTAGAAATGTAACAGTACCTCTAATAATCCTCATAAAAGAAGTCATAACAAAATGTTAAAGTGCTCACCATGTTTAGAAATACCTTCTTTGCCAGAGACAAAGCTTACTAGGACAGAAGAGGCTGTTATAATTTGTCTCCAGATATGCTTTATATTATTGTTAATGTTAAACAATAGGTACCATCTGCTGTATTTTGCTCTAGGAGCAAAGGAGTTAAAAGAAAATACTAATACACTTGTTCTAACATATTGAGCCATTATTGTGATTTTTCAAAAATGTTAAGAGATCAATATCTATCACCCTTTCTCAATAAGTGTCAGAAAAAAATTATTTTTAAATCATAAATGTGAATTGTTAGATAGACTTTATAAAGTATTTTATTATAAAAAATAGTGAGAATTTACCTAATGTTCATTAATCTGATTTTCAAATTTTATCATTACAGGGGTTTAAATATAGCCTTCCAAATATTAATTCTCAATGAATATTTTTACAGTAAAAATTTTAAAAATGTAACTTAAATTTGGAAAAGCAACACCTCTTTAGGTATTTAACAGTGTAGTATTAGACGAGGTCATAAAATAAATACTGTTGGAACATCACACTCTGCTGCTGCTGCTCTTGGTACACATAATGATCATAGTGTTGTACTTGATCGTAGCCAAAAGGCTCAGAAGCAGTCTAATTTTAGTGTTGTATTTATTACATGTATGCGATAGAAATTTGTTATTATTGAAGAGTGCATGTCTGCCGTCTTGATAAGATTCTTAAGTTATCATTGGTGTATATAGTGAGTTATATTGTGTAAGACTATTTTAGTCTTTCCCAAACTGATTAATTGTATTGAGAATAAAAAAATGGAGTTAGAACAGTTAAGCTACTTTGTTATTAAGAGTACATAAATACAGAACTATAAATTAGTATAAATAATTTATAGTTTAAGTGTTTTCATTTTAAATATGTTAATTGTAGCACATTTTCCACTATGACTGGGAATATAAATTTACTGTCAAAGTATGATGTTAGTTAGTACATACCATTTTTTAAAACCATTTGAAAATTTTTACTTGTCTAACATTCCTTCTTTTCCTTTGCAAAACTTACTATTCAGAATATGTATGCATGAGAAAAAATCCTCTTTTTATAGATTTTAAAGTTCTTAATGGTATTAGAAACTTTATCAGTGAAGAAATTATTTTTAGTTCTAGAAAATAAATTGTTACCCCTTAAATTCTTTAATTTAATCTATTGTATCATTTTTTTACCTTAGAAATATTTTATAGTATCCATCCTGTACACTCATGATACATGTTTGATTTGGGTTGATTTCCAAAGTTTCCTAGTTTGAATACATTTTTTTAATCAACTTCAAAGAACAGATGGATAATGTAGTGAAAATATGGGGGCATATTTTTATTATATATAACTGATACTAATGCTAATTCTAATTTTGATCATAAAAATTAACTCTTACTCATTTCTTTCTCAGGATGTCATGAGGATGCTAAGATAAGCAAAAGATGAAATATATTAAAAAATTAAAACACCATGTATTAAAGCTATTCATTGCTTTATGTGCTCCAATGTCATGTTAATTATTTCATATGTTAATGTGTACTTGCTTCTGAAGTGTGTGCAGGCACTCAACCTCTAGCTTTGTTCTTTGCAGTGTACCTGAAATGTGCATTTACCCCAACTGAACTGCTCACCCCGTCATGTGGTCCATATCTGTGTAACGAGAGATACATAGATGTGTATGGCTACTGTATATTTGTTAGCAAGCGGAATGTTCATTACTAATATAAACTAGGAATTATGGTTTGTTTAATATCCCGATAAGTATTATTTATAGCAGAATATTAACTTTAAGTGATTTTTCATGTATTATAGTACTGCCAAATCTGTCGAAAGGGAGATAATGAAGAACTGCTCCTCCTGTGTGACGGCTGTGACAAAGGCTGTCATACCTACTGCCACAGGCCCAAGATTACAACCATACCAGATGGGGACTGGTTTTGTCCAGCTTGCATTGCTAAGGTAAGACTGATCTAAAACTTCTTTTTAAATCAAGATAACATTGGTTACTAACATTTTACAAGCTTCAGGTGGACAGCATTTTAATTCTGTGTTCACTATAGCATGCTCACCACCAAAAGTCTAGTTTCCATCTGTCACCATATATTAGACTCCTTTTACCCATTTCTCCCTTCCCCACTCCCCTTCCTCTCTGGTAACCACTAATATGTTGTCTGTGTCTATGAGTTTATGTATGTTAATTACAGGCATTTTATGAGAATATTTCGAGATAATTCATGTACCATAAAATTCACCTTTCTAAAGTGTACAACTGAGTGTGTTTTTTAAATATATTCATGAAGTTGTACAACCATCACCTCTGTTTAATTCCAGAACATTTTCATGACCCCCAAAAAGCATGCTTGTACCCATTAGCAGTCACTCCCTATTCCCCTTCTCCCATCAGCTTTTGGCAACCACTTATCTACTTTCTGTCTTTATGAATTTTCCTGTTCTGATCATTATGTTATAAATAGAATCAAATAATATGTGCCTTTGTGCCTGACTTCTTTCAGTTAGTACAAGGTTCATCTGGGTTTCACTATATATCAGTGTTTCCTTTTTTTAAATAGTCAAATGATACTCCATTGTATGGATATACAACATTTTGTTTATCCATCCATCAGTTGATAGACATTTGGGTTGCTTCCATGTTTTGGCTGATACAAATAATACTGTTAGGACCATTCATACACAAGTTTCTGTATTAATATATGTTTTAACTTCTGTTGGGTATATGCCTAAGAGTAGAATTGCTAGGTCTTTTAAATCACTCTCCAGCCTTTGGACTCTCACACCATTGATTAAAGAGAAGCAATACGACAAAACAGGAAAAAGTGGGTTTTAAAGTTATAAAGATAACATATGAAAGGGTCAGCATGTATGGAGGGCCAGACTCTGCTGGGTGTTCCCTACCTCAGTTACTGTCTTTTTTGTTTAATCTCTTGACCTGATCATTACCAGTAATTACTGCCTCTTCATAAACTCAGTTTCAAACATCTGTCTGTGCACTGCCTTCTTTCCTGTCTGCCCTCTCTAACACTTCAGCAATTCTCTGATTTCAACAGGACCTTCAAGGCATTTATCTTAAGACCTTTTCACGGTCCCTTTACCACTTCATGTCCTCTGATTTCTCCTAACCCAATCATTGCATCCATCCATGCCTCCCTTGCCATAAGCTGCTAGTGCCACTATGAAGCCAATTCCCCAAGGGCGTGCCTCAGATCCCATCCCCTTCCACTTCCTTAGGAGTGTGGCTCCAGCAGTTCTCTCTTCTTCTGCATCAGTCTTTCTTTTTCCTCTGGGCTCTTGTCATCAGCTTACTATGATGCTACTACTTCTACGTTAAGAAAACTAAACAAAAATGCTTTTCTGACCTTATTTCTTCCTTGCTCCACTTCCCCCATTTCTCTCCTTCCCTTTACAGTAAAACTGCTAGAAAATTCTGTCCTGATTCTCGCCCATTTCTCTCCTCCAATTCAATGTTGAACTCCAGTCAGATTTTCACCAGCACAGCTTCCAGAGTTCTTGTTACCATGGCTACAAATAACATCCCTATTGCTCAGTCCAATGATTGGTGCTTAGGCCCCATCAGACCCATCAGGCACAGTTGATGAAGGGGAACACTCCTTCCTTCTTGAAACCCTGTTTACACGTGGCTTCTGGGAAACCCCACTCACCCAGTTTTTCACCCGGTTTTCTTCTTGCCTTTGCCCCTTTTCAGTCTGTCTCACTGATTTTCTCACCGCCCTCATCTATCGACCTTAGAGCGCTTTTTTAGCTTCAGGGTTATCATCTGTAAGATGGGACAGTACCTGCTTTATGGGAATTTGTGAGGATCAAATATGGTCATGGATGTGAACTGGTTGAAAACCTGTGACGTATATATAGACTATATTTTACAAAATAACAGAAGGTCCCACATGGCATCATTTTCACTAATAATGGCTTTTTACCTCTCAGTATTTGATCATTTTTGTTATGTATAGATCATTGTAATTCAGTAATTAGCTTCACTGGTTGTATGAAAACTATCTTTTAGTTTCATAACTATTAAGTTATAGACAGTTTCTCTCTAATACTTTATGAATTATTAACAAGTCAAGTGTATTAAGTATTAGAGATATTATCTGGTAGGCATTTTAAGTGTTTGAGATATCTGACAGGTTATAGGAGGTTTTGTTTACAATAAATTTGCTTTATTTAGAATTTTCGCTATCTGTCATTGAAGGAGCAGAGTAGGAGACATCAGTTCTATGATCTTATCCAAGATCTGTGTAAATGCAGCTTTCTAAGCCACTGCTTTTTTTTGTTTTGTAAATGTGGTGAATTACATGTTATGTTTTTTATAGCAATATAACAATTTATAGACATTTGATTTTGATATAAGGATTTTAAAAATTAAGGTTTTAAAATCTTTCTAGTAATTTTTTGTTATTTACAGTAACGACAACTCTGAAGTTACAATAACAACTCTCAAGTGGCTTTTCTGCGTACATCACTGTGATCATTTTTACTCCGTGTGTGTGTGTGCATGCCAGTATATATAGGTACTTTATTGTACTTACGTATGATTACAGAACCACAGACTCAAATAGATGTTGTAAATAAACTGAATATATACATATTTATATACATTCATAGACACACACACACACACACACACACACACACACACAGGTTTCAAACTGCATTGCCTACTAAAGCCACTGGAATAGCACAGAAGAGCTGGAACTGTGGCAAACAGGAAAGTCACATCCCCACTTAAATGGTAGTCATCACTCGCCTCCAGCCAACCGTTGTCCTAGAGACAACATGGGCCAGTGTTCAGGACCTTCCAGTACTTCAGGATCAGAGATTTTTAGGCACTTCCTCCCAATGTAAATGTTGGCAACAAATTCAGAATTTCTACAAGCACTATATGAGCAAAGCAGCAAGCATGGGCAGTAGGCAGTTTACAGCCTGTGAGCCACCAGTTCACAGCTTCTGATATATAAATATACAAACATAATAGAGATGTGCTTCTGTGTGTGTAATTCGATGAGTTCTGCTTAAGGCATATTGCAGTTCCTTTTTGAATTTGGGCTTTTAATAAAATAGAGACAAAAGGTGGCAAGGGGAACAGCTTTGTCCAAGAACAAAGTAATTAGGTAACAGAGTAACACTATAAAAACTTACTTTTAAAAGTATGTGTATGTGCATGGTCTATTGACGTAAGGTGATAAATGTCATTTATTAAGAAATAACACAGAGACTTCATTGTCTTTTTAAAACATCAGAAAATTTTTTCGATTCCGTGGTTTAAACTTCATGTTTTCTTACTGTAAGCATTAATTTGTTAGAAAATGACCCCAAGTAATATTTTAGTTCAAGCAGGAACTAGAAGTGTTGGCCCATAATTCACAAAATTTTTTGTTTTTTAAGTAACACAATTGTTATTCAATTTAACCTAGTTTAATCTTAGTTAAATGTACTTTTCTCATATTATATTAAGCATTCTCTTTTATAATTTCAGAGTGCTAAAAGCTCAGTGTTGTACAAAATTTCAAAGTAAGAAAATTTTAGTGCATAAAAATTAATAAACTAATTGGAGAAGAGAAACATTTTCATTATTTCAGTTAGCGACAAAGGGTAGTGATTCTTTGATATGGTATGGGGAAGCTGTTAGATTTATGGTTTGCCTTATTATTTTAGTCAATTAAAATATTTCAAGTATACTTATCCCCCGAATAGAGAATCAATTTTTTTTTTTAATTACAGTTTGCATTCACACTATTTTGTACTAGTTTTAGGTGTACAACACATTGGTGAGACAACCATGTACTTTATAAAATGTTCCCTAGAACCAGATATTTTTAATTTCTTGATGAAGGGCAATTTTAAAAAATATATTGCTAGAAGAGATCATGAGATCCTCAAAGAAATTGGTATGAAATATTCCAAAGACATGTTTCCAGCCAAATTTATTTCGATATAGCTAACTTTAAATTATGGCTAGATTAAATATTGACTCTGTAGTCTAAGATTTCTTAACAGTTTGTGTAAGAAAGGAAATAAATTTTTAAAAGAGGGTAAATAAACACTATTCTGGAAAATCAAAACAAAAACTGTGTATTACTGGTGACTTTGCATATCACTCTTCTAAATCTATTATATTTACTATAATATTTAACTCAAAATTCAATCTTATTTCCCTACTTCTAAATTGGGGAAAGGGAGGTTCATTGTTACATCAATTGTGGTTACCTGCATCAGTCCTCACTGACTTTTTTTTTTTTTTTTCATTTAATTTGAGAACTTGAATGACTTTACTGATTGTGCTGCTTATTTTGTAACTGAGAAAAATAGGGCCTCATACATATTTTTGTACAAAGTTCCATAGCTAGTTACTGACAGAGTATAGCTGGAATGTATATCCTTTGATTCCAAATATAATCTTTTATACTATTTCCTTATTGTTTTCCTCAAAACAGACACCTTTTCTGTCTTCTTTTTTCCTCAGCCTTCAACCACTTTTTTTTCACACCTGGGAACCACAAGTTTGTGGAATAATCTACTTACAGCAAATGCTTTTTTCTTTATCCAGAAAAAAAAATCAATTTCCAATAGATTTGGTTTTACAAGGGACTTTTTCTCTATGTGATACTTCATGAGCTATTTTTATGTTTTAACCTAGCTTTTTAATTACCTCTTCAACTTTCTTAGTAACAAGCTCTATTTTTATTTTTATTTCTGTTCATCTTTGTTCTTAATTATATTGTTCTCTAAAAGATAGTCCTTTTGATTATTTAACCTCATTCAGTCAGTGACCTGGACTAAAGGAATACTGCTGATAAGCTCTACACTAAGGATGGATTACCATGAGATCAGCATCCTCAAGTTTTTTAAGATTTCTTAAGATAAACTTTTCATGGTTTATCAGGTTTCAGCCTTATATTGTGAAAGAACAAAATCATAGATCTCTTTTGAAAATGATAAAATTATTAACCTCCAACATCTTTTGTTATACTTCATTTATTTTTTTAAATTAAAGGCAAGTGGTCAAACTCTAAAATTCAAAAAACTTCATGTCAAAGGAAAAAAGAATAATGATTCAAAAAAAGGAAAGAAAGGAACTTTAATAGGGGATACCGAAGATGAAGACTCTGCATCCACAAGCAGTTCACTAAAAAGAGGAAGCAAAGATGTTAAAAAAAGAAAAATGGAGGAAAACACTTCCATTACCTTGTCAAAACAGGAGAGTTTTGCTTCTGTTAAGAAACCTAAAAGAGATGACTCCAAGGACTCAGCTCTTTGCAGGTATTACTTCAATTTTTATGTACTCTATATTCATGTTACCCCATTTTTTTTTGTTTAGAAACCTTCTACCATATTAAAGGTGACTTTCTGAAAATTTGTACAAATAGGAAAATGTAAAGTTTATAGTGTAATGTATTCTTTTAAATAATTTGCATTGCTTTTCTTAAAAGATTATAAAAGCTAAATTTTTAACAAAACAGGTAATTGCATAGATATTGATTTCAAACATTATTTTCTTTAGTATGATCCTTACTGAAATGGAAACTCATGAAGATGCATGGCCTTTTCTACTTCCTGTAAACTTGAAACTTGTTCCTGGTTATAAGAAAGTTATTAAGAAGCCTATGGATTTTTCTACAATTAGAGAAAAATTAAGTAGTGGACAGTAAGTAAATCCTTTCATTTCAATTTTGATTGCTTGATATGTGCCAGGTAATTATCTACTGAGCCAGAAATACACTAATTTACATCCAGGACAGAAGCCCTGACTTTGGAGAGGGGTGTGTGTCTGTGTGCACGGGGGTGTGTGTGTATGTTTGGTAGGGTGGTAGTGTGGTATGGATGACAAGTCAATCAATATTATTTAAACAACTAAAAAGAAGTGGGATAAAGCTGCTTTTGACATTGGAAGGGCACCACACTAAGCCTGGGATGTAAAGAAAAGTATCAAGGAAGTCTCCCAAAGTAGGTAGGTAGCATGTAAGCTGGAGCTTGTATTGTGCATCAGTGGAGTAATGACATCATCTCATGTGGATTTATTAACAATTAATTCTGTAATATTTTCAAATTATTTCAATGCAGAGATAGAAAATCATTGGAAATTTTAAATACTAAAAGCTTTATAATGCCCTGGCAGGTAGCTCGGTTGGTGCATCATCCTGAAACGCCAAGGTTGCACATTCATTATCCAGTCAGGGCACATACAAGAATCAACCTACAAATGCATACATAAGTGCATCTCTCTCTCTCTCTCTCTCTCTCTCTCTCTCTCTCTCTCTCTCTCTCTCTCCCCCCCTCCCCGTCTTCTCTTCCTCTCAACAATAAATACAATTTTTTAAAGCTTTACTATTAATTGTGGAGAAAACTAAAAATATATGTATTAAGTGTGGAAGAAAACTATTTGCTACTTTCTACCATATTCTCTTTGTGATCCTATCTTTTCTGATAAGAAGAGTGGCTTCCTGTCATGATCTGCCACAGTTCATGGTTTTTGTTAGACCGTATCAGACTCCTGACAGAGAGTTGCAACTGTTAATGGGATTTAATTGGTTCTCGGCACTGGCCCACCTTGGAGCCATAAGAATGGGGCCATTCACTTAACAGAATGAGCCCACACAAAGGCATCCCATGGGTGAATGGAGCTGCGGAGCTGTGTTTCCTTTTCCATTCTCCCCTGCTCCCTTTATGCTACATCCCGGTCTAGCTTCATGTAGCCTGTGCCCATCACTTCAAGCAAAGTCACAGGAAATATGGGGAGAGAAGGAACTTTACATGAAAGAATAACTACAAAATATAGTTTAGTCACATTGTCACTGTTCTTATGATACTCATTTTTATACAGTATATTATTTAGTTCTTCCTGGGCATTCTTTTGGTGAAAATTGCCGTGCTCCATAATTTATACTCACTTTAGAAGAGTTGAGTAGAACTTCTCATGATGATCAATGTCCCTCCCATAGCAAATGATGGACCAAATGACTGATTTATTTCTTTAAAAGCTGAAATGTCAATCTTGCAAAGGATTATTTCTTTTTTTTATTTTTTAAAAAAGTACAGAAAGGACATGCCCAAACTCAGAAAACATTTATAATCATTAAAACTATTGGTTCTAATGTGAACCCAACAGGAAAAGCTGTGGTCTAGATATGGACTAGTTCTCTTGCTTTTTCTCAATGTCCAAATAATCAGTCGGAGGTTTAGAGGGCAGCACAATGGACTTGACAGCAGCGTTGCCAGGACCAGACTTATCAGGGAGACTTGACTTGTGTGTCAGCAAGCTCATGGCTTTAACTTCCACGATTCTCCAATTTCTAGAGAGGGTGAACCTCAGCCTCCAGAGTCCCCAAAACAAAAAGGCTTACACATTAAGACAAACTTACCAAAAGAGCTATGTAATTGACGTTCCCATTTGAGAATGAATCCTGGTGGTTGGAGGAGATCACGTGGAGGCAGGCAGAGAGCTAAATGGTCCCTGTCATCCTGCGTGTGTGGCCGGCTGCATGGGGGGCCACATTCAGTGCACTCCGTCTCCTCGAAGTTGCACTGTGCAGTTAAACCCAAACTGGTGTGCTGACACCAAAATCCACAAACAGCCTTTCAGAATTTTAAACTAGAAATGGATTGATCAGAGGATTTGGGGAAGTGCATACTTTAATGAAACACTCTGGATTTCATCAACTGCCCATCCTTCCATAAAAGAAGGGCACAGAGTGGGTATTGCCCTTATTTCACCTAGAATCTCATCTGGAACTCTCTCTTGGGCTCCAGACTCCCTAGCATTAATCATTAACTTTTTCTTATAGTAAGGAACAGCTTAAAGAGATAAGTGTTTCCCAAAGTAACTTCATAATGTTTTATAAAAATCATTCCCACACATGTTATATGATCCTGTTTATGTGAAATATCCAGAACAGGTGGGTGCCTGCCACAGGGCGGGAATAGGGAGGAACAGAGAGTAGCTGCTTAATGGATGAAGGGTTTCCTTTTGAGGTAATGACAATGTTTTGGAACTAGAAAGATGAGGCGATAGGACAGTGTTGTGAATGTACTAAATGCCACTGAATTGTCTAACTTGAAGTGGTTAATTTTATGTTATGTGAATTTTACCTCAATAAAAAAAAGTTCCAGAAGAACAGGAATGGATAAGGTAAGATAAGGCCTGAATTAACTCTGTGAGCTCATTACAGATAAATAAATTTTATTTCTTTTTTTGCACATATTAAGAAAAGAAAGAGGGAATGGAAACTGTACAAGCTATTTCATCAAAGAAATAATTCCACTTTCATCAGGTCTCAGAACTTTAGTGTATGCCTCACAGATATTTCTAACAGGAAAATTATTTTAACATCTATCTTATCATAAGTTAGAATTGATTTACATTTCAATTTCTAAAAGCCCTCTTTCAAAATGTATTGATTTGGTTTCAGTTGGCTTGAAACAGACCACTCCTTTCTTACCAATAAATTAAGGCAGATTCAACTTTTGTGTTCTGTTCTTCATGTTCTTACAGAGAAAGGAGAAGTGGGCGATCCCACTAAACAAGCACTGAAGCCACAGTGCTTCTTGTTGAAAGTCAGTTCCTCAAAATGTTATCTCAGGTAAAGGGGTAGCGCATGCTTTTTGCTCATTTTGAATCATATTCAAAGCAAAAGAGTATATTTGAAGAGAGAAGAGAAATGGGAACTGAGGAAGATTTAACACAGAGCAGCCTATCCTGGGATGTAGGTACAAGCCACAGGGCAAGTGCAGTGTCTGTAGTTCAGAGGAAGCATTTCTGTTATTTCTAGCACACCCAAACAGTTTGGGGTGTAGACAGAAGGGGTACGACAAGAGATGCCACTGGTCAAAGGAGTTAAACTCAGCAGGTGGGTCCTATAACGGAGCACTGTGGTGCAGATCAAACAGGAAATTGAATGTGGGGAAAATGTTTGTTGTAATGTGTCTTGATCTTTAGAGATATGTGTTTTTCCATTTCATCTATCTTTAATACTATATGGTTCAGACCACAAGCAACTATGTAGTTTGAAAGTTCCATGTATAAGAGGGTATAATGTTTTAAATCACTTTGAAGGCAGTTATCCTAACCTTTTTCTTTTTCCTTTCAGTTTTACTTTCTATTTTACCTTTGATTACCTCTTCATTTGGTTACAAAACAAAGGTATTTGACAAAAGCAACCTCTAAATCATGTGTTTTCTTTCAGGTATCCGAACCCTGAATCCTTTGCTCTGGACGTCAGGCTTGTTTTTGACAACTGTGAAACATTTAATGAAGATGATTCTGACATAGGCAGAGCTGGCCACAGTATGAGGAAGTATTTTGAAAAAAAGTGGACAGATACTTTCAAAGTGAGCTGAAGTTATAATAATCACGCTCTTTTTTTTCCTTTCAAACAAGGACAAATGAGACCAGCAATGTGAACCATATTTACATGAATGTGCGAGGCACATACGTAACAACTTTTTTTCCTTAAAATAAGTATCACAAAAAAAGTATCAGAAGAATGATACCATTTTTAAAGGCTTCACTCCTACAACAACCAAGACCCTTGGTTATTGATTTTTGTGATTTATCAGCTAATTTAGGTAGAACAGGGAAGCACACCCAAAGAATTTTCAAAGGAAAGGGTGTTATAGTGCAATAGCAATTAAAATATATCAAATCGCACTGAATATTCAACACCAGAGCTCTAACATGGGAAACGGTTCTCCTTTCCCTCTCAATAAATATCTATTTTTCATTTTTTTACTTTGTAGTTTATTTTTTAGTGAATGTATTTAATTTTATGAATTATTTATGATTAAACCACATCCAGAATCTTCGTTTTCTGTGAAAAGGAAGAACTAGAAAATTGCTTTAAACCTTGAAAATACAACAAGGAATGTTTTAAAATATAAACAAAGCCAAGTTAAACTGTTTACACTAATGTGCTATAAAAGCACCAAAAATAAACTTTACTGTAGAGTTACAAGTACATTTATATATATATATATATATGTTGCTGCATCACTTGTGTAGTTAAATTGTATTTCAAGACAGTGAAGAAAAATTGACATGTATATATTGTTCATTATTGTTTATATTGTCTTGTTTTAAATATGTACTATGTGTATATATTGTTTGCAGACATTATTGTTTATGCCTTAGAAGGACTGTAGCATTTTATTTTAGTCTGAAGGTAATTATCGCTGTACAGCTTGTACAGTAATTATCCTCTACCGACACTGTGGCGTCTCCTTGATCTTGGTAGTGCCTGCCTTTGAAACAGGGTGTAGGGGATATTAGTTTTTCCATTTTTCTATTTTGTTATATAACTTTAAGCCACCAGGGCCTAAATTAAAGTATAATCATTTGTATCCATGTGGAATAAAATTGTGACAATTTCCTACACACACAGTATTTTTTCATAGAAACATTTCCCTCCCATTTGCCTTGCCTCAGAAATAAATTTAAAAGACATTTGTAACCACTGTGTTTTATCTACTGTGTGTTGTGGTGGCCTGTTGGAGGCAAATAGATCAGAATTTTTTTGTACCTATGTAAGAGTACTTGAAGTTTTATTTAAAATAAAATGTTGTGCAAAAGGTAGCATTCTTTTTTTTAGGAGTGTTATTTTTCACTACTATGTGTGGCACGGATACAATAAAAGACTTTTACAAACTAGTTTTTAGTTTTTCTTAATGAACCTGAAAATATAGTCTTTTCAAAAAAAAAAAGAAAATGATTAATTTAATTTGATTTTTACAAAATCGTAAGAGAGGAGCAACAGAGTGGGGCTCCAAGTGCACTGAAGCTGAGTGGAAGGTGGGTGGTTTTAAGTCAAGTGATAGGACGTTCATGGGTCACTGAACCTCTCTTGACCACATTTTATTGTTGGGTTGGGTTTTTTTTTTTTTTTACATTTTCAATGTTAAAATACATTTTAAGGTGTTCTGATAAGAAAAATGTCTCCATTGGTAGACATGTAACCTAGTGGTCAATAAGAAATTCCAACCATATAAATTAGTCTAACAAGTCAGGAGCTGCACGGCGCAGCGTTCGTGAAATGCACTGTGAAGCCTGCGGGGCTCTGAGGAGTAGTGGCAAACGCAGCAGGCCCAGGCCCTGCCCTCGGGGAGCTCACTGCCTAGAGAGTGGCCCTTGGGTGATGTTCTTAGAAAATGACTTTCAATGGTGAAGGAGAATAGAAAAGTCTTGAAGAAAATATTCCTAACTTTAAAATGCTTCAAAGTCACAGAGTATTTTCCAGAATCCCTAGACTGTGAAGACTTATGTGAAAATCAGCTGTCGTGATGTAAATATGTCAGTTTCTGTTAACCAAATGTCACAGTGATGCCTTAAGGGGCTGGTGCTTAATCGAAAATACTGTGTGGAGCAGGGCACAAGGTGGTGCTGTGAATAAAGTCTGGTTTTTGTGTTTATAGAACTGCCAGTTGCTCCACGGGGCTTTAGGGATGATACATGCTTATGTTAATTTATATTAGATGGTATATAAGTGGCTTATTTGATAATAAATAACATTTGGTGTCTAAGAGGCTCATAATAAGAAATAAAATACTTACACACAAAAAAACAATTTTTCAAGAGTGATAATTTTCTTTTAAAAGTAAGTTATCCCTGAGTAAGCCAAACTTGTATTGTGAGGGCATCATAGAAGCCCTAAGGTGCAGCCAGTACCTCACCCCAACTCACAAGCAGTGTGACTGTGGCATCTTAGAAGCGGACCCTTCAGCCCACATTAACATTGAGACGACTGGAACCCCGCCATCTTGGCTAGAACTTCAGAAGAGACCCTAAGCCGGAGCCACCCAGCTAAGCCACTCCTGAATTTTTGACCTACAGAAACTATGAGGTAGTCAGCATTTGTTACTGTTTTAAGCTGCTCAGGTTGGAGGAGATGCTTGCATGACAACAGATCACTGGCTGTCTGTGCGTGGGGTTCCCTGGGGTCCACGTGGGAGGGGAGCCTGTGCTCTGCAGAGGGCCACTCTGTACTCCTCCCAGCTTACGTTCAGTTTTTATTTGGATGACTTTTCACTAATAATTTATTATTACAGATTTTGAATACCAGATTTTGAAAAATATCAAACAGTTTCTCTAGTCATATTACCAGCTTCAACTTTGATTTGACTTTTTGTAGTTTTTTTATGTAGATGTTGTATCTAACCCTATCTGCTTTCCAGTGACTGAGATTTCCAGAGACACTGAATCCCTTGAAAGATGTCAGGTGAGCACAGAGTCAGCACAGTGCAGAAGATGCACCGAGGAGTGTGTTATCCGCCTGGCAGTGGGGTAGGGGGCCCAGCCCTTCTCCACAACACCACAGTGGGGTCTCTGCACCTGACAACTTTGGGGGGTCGCACCTGCTGCACAGTGCACATAAACAGAACATTTTGCCCCTCAGCCTCTCCTGTTCTGTTTCATGATGCCTATCCCATTTTTTGTACCTGAGAAATTGAAATAGCTCAGAGTTCTTGATTATCAGATTTTCTAGTTCTGCATATTTAAAGTTTTATCTAGTCATCTGATTGGAATTCTGGATATTTTCAAAGTTAAACATCATGAGTCATCTGTTTATTGACATGTTCTTGTGTTATGCATAGAGAGTCTTGTCCATAATGTATGGATGTAATTGGCTTTCTTCTCCTTTCAAAATGTCTAAGAACAGCTGGAATTCATATTCCCCAATAACTAAGGGTATTGCTATTATGCGCTGTGTATCTCCCATTTTCACCCAACATAGTTCCTCAGGAGATTGTGTCTTACACATTTTTACTCAACACCCAGCACTAGTAAAATGCCTGATATATAAAAGGTACTCAATAAAACTTTGCCAATAAAGCCTTCCAATCAAGGAGGATATTCAAAAGAATGAGCCACACTATGAAAGCAATTCAAAATTGGAATTCTAAATATATTTTAGGTAACCACTCTTGTGGAATTGTCCAAAATGATTGCTTTCAAAAGCATAGTTCTTACTGTATGTATATTTGAACTATAATTCATCAATGTGCAATCATATTACTTTATAATGATATTGTCAAGCTTGGTGATGTTCTGACAGAATATAGCTCTTTTCTGGAGCATGTTGAGGAGGATCATGTCAGTAATAAAGGGTCTAACTCAAGAAAAAATCCAAATAGACCTATAAAACAAGCAAAGAGATTGAATTAATTTAAAAAATTCCTACAACATAAGCCAAGCCCCAGATGGCTTCACCACTGAATTCTACCAAACATTTAAGAACTAATTACCAATTCACAAACACTTCCTAAGTTATTTTATGAGGCCAGTATTACCCTAATACCTAAGTGAAGTATATCATAAGAAAAGGAAACTAGAGGCCAATGTGTATAGATGCAAAAACCCTCATAAAGATACTAGCAAACCAAATCCAGAAATGCAGAATAAGAATTACATACCATGGCCAAGTGGAATTTATCCCAGGAATGCAAGCTTAGTTTAACATTCAAAAATCAATATAGTATGCTATGTCAATAGAATAACAAATACAACATGATTATATAAATAGATTGAGGAAAAGCACTTGACAAAATCCAACACCTTTTAATGATAAAACAAGTAGCATAGAAAGAATTTCCACCAGATAAAGGACATTGACAAAACACATACTACTACTATCAAACATAATAGTGAAAGATTCAGTGCTTTCCCCTCTCACATTAGGAATAAACAGGGATGTCCACTCACACTGCTAGTCAACATTATACTGGACAGTCTATCCAGGGCAATTAGGCAAGGAAAAGAAAAGGCATCCAGATGGAAAGGAAGATGTGAAACTGTTTCTATTTGCAGATGACTTCACCTTATAAATAGAAAACCTTAAGAAATCCATAAAATAAAATCAGTCATCTAGCCACTATGCTGGACACCTGAAAATGATACAAAATAATATTGTTAATGTAATATGAAAAACATAATTGGAAAAAATTTGAATAAAAACAAAAAAATGTACTTGCAAAACAAAGTGCATAGGAGTATTTGTGACCTTGAGTTAGGCAAAGCCTCCTCGTATACTATACCAAAAGCACAAATGACCAAAACGCTAAGTAAGTTGAACTTCATCTAAATTAAAAGTTGGCATGGCAAATGGAACCTTCAAGAAAGTTCAACAAAAACAAAAGTGTTCTAAAATTAGAGTGTGGTGATAATCTCTAAATACAGTAAAAACTATCAAATTGTATAATGTAAAGGAGTGAATTATATGGCATATGTTACACATCAATTAAGCTGTTTAAAAACAGAAGACTCATTGGCTCGCTGTAGAGTTTCAAGGTGAGACAATTATTGTAGGTGTGGACACAGATGTTGCCTGATTCCTAAGGGAATATGCCTGAGAAATTAGGAAGTCACAGGGAAAATGAGTCATATTAAAGATGTTCCAGGAAGAACAAAAAGAGTTCTGGCCTGGTACATATTGGTCTGATAGAACTGTCTCTTGGGCATAATTATCCTAAACAGAAAAAGGTGAGAAAGATTGTTTAAACAGTGAATGCTTTTGTCCTAGAAATATTGACTTCATATTTGTCACCATGGAAATCTCCATGAGACAAGTCAGAAAAACAAATGTCTGGGTAGTTTTCTTTGGATGAGGGAATTTGATGTACTTAAATCTCTTTCCATTTTTATAACTTTGGGTTTTAATTTTCAAATAACCTTTGGTCTTTAATTTCACCCTGCAAATTTCAAAATGAGAAGCAGTCTGTGTTCATTATATTTTGGTCATTTTCTAATTGCAGTATTTTAATTTAGTCGTTTCATCTCTAAGAACTGTTATAGATGGGGAGAGAAAGACCTGACTCAAGAGACTCCCTCTCCTGCCTTGGTTCTTGTCTCACTCGGAAGAGAATAATTCAGTCAAAGAGACAAGCACATTTAGTGGAGATGAGACAGCAAGTTTATGAAACACATATGAGCACAAATCTACAAGCAGGCCCCCAGCTAATCTAAATGCCCCATTTATAGAGGAAATAAAGTTGTTAGTAAGTTTATTCTGTACACTTGAGCCAAGGCTACAAGTGGCTACTTAGGTAATCTAAGTACACCGACTATTGGGGTTCAGGGGTTATATAACTCAGCTGGCTTCTAGGTTCTCCCTTCTCGCCCCTCTAAATCTTGGTAATAATGTGCAGCTACAGAGGCTTTCTTTCTCAGTAAAGTCTCTTTGTCTTCGTGAAATTATTACAAAGGCTCCCTTTCACAGAATCTCAAGGACTCCCCTCCCTCCCTCCTGTGCTATTCCTGCTTGTGATGTTTGGAACACCTGGCAATCTTATTAAGATTGTTACAGAAGCCCCTTTTCTCAGCACAGTCCCAAGGACTCTCCATTCCTCCTGTGCTGTTTTGCTTGCAATGCTCCAGACACCCAGCAAGCAGTCTTATCAGACCAAGCTCAGGACTGCTGAGTTAGTTGGTGGGACATGTGTTCCTCTTGCTTCTTTCTAGCCTTCTGTATTAAGTTCCTTGTTAGATTGTAAAATCGAGGGTTCTGCCTTTATTTCCCCTCTGGCCACTCATTCCTAGCTGCTACCTAAGAGAACCTCTCATAAGCAGATTTGGGCCATATGGCTGCACATAATACAGAATCAGAATTAGACTGGGGAGTAAATGTTAGGGTTTGAGTTTAGAATGGCTTAGAATCCATTTAAATACACTTCTGGTCCATTGCAGAGCTTTCTGGAGCAAAATCAACATTGACCTCTGTTGATTAAAAATAGCTCACAAAAGAACAATAGTTGGCATTAGAGGAGCGACTTCATGAAGGTTAGTGGCAAGACAGTCCAGAAAATCCAGGCTTCCCTCCCTTCACCCCACCCCCACCCCAAATGTACCTTCAACGATGGCCACACTCCTGGCTGGCTCAATGGGTTAAGCAAAGAAAAAAAGATGCCAAGTGTTTGGGGTTGGAGTAGCTTTTTACTCCTGAGTTTGTGTTTCCATATGAAAGGATATCAGTCCACTATCTGACAGGCAGGTGAGGATAACAAACTGAGTCTGTAGAGCACTGTGCCCCCTCCACTCTGCCTTAGCTACAGGAGCATGTCCTCTGGTCACCTTGGGCTCAGCGGTAAACCTGGCAGCAAAATTTACCTCTGCCTGGTAAATTTTCTGCATTTCCTGTGACTGGGTGTGTTAATTCTGGAGTTCAGAATTAGGAAGCCCACTGTTTGGAATCTCTCACCCATGTTTCCAGCCTAGACATTTGCAATGTTAAAAGGAGTGTTTTGATTTCCAATTCTGTTCTCTTTGCCTCTCTATGTTGGCATGGGATTCAGGTGGAAAAAAATAGGTGCTATTTATTAGTGTCATCAAACTGTAAGATTTGTAGCTGGAGCACATCATTTGATAACATTCCTCTCATCAGAGACAACTCAGTAAGGGCTTCTGTATAGTTTAGGCATTTAAAATATCAACTTTTGCATTTGAACAGTATCAAGACTGTCATAATAGTTCACCTCATATTTGGGCTTCTGGCACAAATTGCTAATTAGTATTTCCTTAAAAATACCTCTTTAGTATATGAAAAAATATGGGTAACTGTGAATGTCACAT